ATATGGTATGGGATGTCCCCTTTGGCTGGTTGGGGTCTGTTCTGGCTGTGCCCCTCACAGCTTCTTGTGCCCCCCCCAGCCTCCTCGCTGGCAGGGCAGTATGAGAAGCAGGAAAAGGCTTTGACTCTGTAAGCACTGCTCAGTAACAACTACCAGCATTAGTCTCATCCTAAATCCAAAACACAGCACTGTACCAGCTACCAGGAAGAAAATTAACTCTATCCCAGCCAAAGCCAGGACAAAGGCCAAGGTCAGTTTTGAGGATGTGTCTCAGCATCCCTGATGGAAGGAACTTGAACTGGCAAAGGGTTGTAGTAGAGGAGCACTGGCAAGCTCTCGCTTCCATCACTCTCAAAACTGTGGTGGGAAATAAAGGTACTCACCACGGGTGTCCAACGAGCTTCTTAGCTTGTTCCAGACAGACAGAAACACGTTCACTCTCCTCTGTAACAGGTCCCGCATCACATCTGAGGAGTAACAGAAAGACCCTGAAGCACCTTTTACTGGCAACACCGTGAAACTCCATAATACAAGAATTTTCAAAGCACACCAGTGAACTCTAGGCAACTGCTCAGAGAGATCAGGAAAGGCTTTAAACAAGTTTTCTAATGGCATCAAATTGAGCCATTTGCTCTGTTTGTTTATATTCTTCCATTATTGTCTGCTATTGGCTCAGGCTGCAAGGCTGGATGGATCCTTGGTCTGATTCTGCATGACCTTTAAGTACTTAAAAACATCAGTAATTATACTTAAGCACAATTGAAGGAGCTGCCACAAAATGTCTGTATGCTGCTCATGAAGGGAAGGGAAGGGCATATATTCCACCTTTTAGGCAAGCCCTACTTCCAGAGCAGAGCTTAAAAATTCAACATATCCACTGCTGCATGCAGGGATTTATCCTGCCTATCTCTGAGCAGAGTCCCCACCCCTTGTGAACAATCTTTACATGCTTAATTCTCTTTAAAACCACCTGATGACTTTTTCCAAGGCTTCCAATTCATTTGGATGGGAGTTGAAAGGAAAATACGAGGGCTTAAGATTGCAAGCTCAAGAAAATTTTTCACTTTCATTTTCAACTGGACTATCCAGCAGTTTTTGTTTTGGTAATTAGAGTTTTGGCACAGTCTTCTCACCTGAGAGGGGTTCATTGAGGAACTCTCGGATCGAGCAGTGCTTGACATCAGTGGTGTTCTGAAATCGCCTCACCAAGTCTCTCTGCAGCGCCAGAATCTCTGGTAAGAATTTAACCAGCCTCAGTTCTGTTTCCTGGAAGAGGAAAGGGGGCCTATGAGAGTAAGGTTGTCCTTGGACAAATCAGTTCTGAATACTTTTATGGAATTACTTTTTAAATGTTTAAAAGAAAAAACAATATTTTATGCACGCAGTTCTCAAGATTATGGAAAGTTATGAGAATGAAGACACCGTATAATCAAACAACGGTTTGGTCCTGGGCAACTGGCTCTAGGCAACCCTGCCTGAGCAGGGGGTTAGACCAGATGACCTCCAGAGGTCCCTTCCAGCCTCAGCCAGTCTGTGCTTGTGACCTGAACACTGCGGTCTCTCAGCCCTGTGTCACACCCACCTTCTGCAGAAACATCCAAAGGAGAGGGACGGCATCCTTGGCATTCTTTTGCTGGACCACATGGCCCAGGTTCTCCACTGAAACCCTCTTTCGGCAGCTCCACATCTTGGAATGATGTATGTGACTGTCCTTTGGCAGCTGGGACAGGAAGCTGACCGGGTCACCATACACTATTTTCACTATTGGATTGGAAGAAATTCTCTCATCCTCTTGTATTTGTCTGTTTAACTTCAGAAGTTTTTTATCCAAATCCTGCATTTTAGAGAAAAAAAAAAAAAGAGAGAAATTCTATCAGAATTGGCGGTGTCCTGCCATGTTGAACCTCCACTAGAGTACATTTCCCTAACTACCTTGATGACCAGTTGACACAGAAATCTGTCAAAGCAGATGAACTCCTAGGGAAGGCGTGTAAAACACATACTGCAAGACAGCTGTTTAGACCATATTCTTTGTTCTCCAACTCATCCAACTCACAGGCCTTCCATTCCTGAGATAATGTATATGGGGGGGAATATAGAAGGCAGACGGAATTCATTGGGGGCAACCATATGCTCACTTGGACAAATACTTTCAATTGAGCTAAGATATTTCTGCTTTTCCAACTATAGAAAATCAACATAGCACAACTCTAGCCTCAGATACTCATTTCCACAGGTAGAATAAAGTTGTGACCCTTTCAAATCAAAGCTCCCCTGCAGCTACATTATAGATGGCTTGGCTTTAGGAATGGCTGGGTGAAAAGGGTAGCACAGATATTACAGCAGGTCAGGTTTCCAAATAAGTGGATTTTGAACGGCTCACCCACTGAAATTTTATACAGCAAATTTCTCACCTCCAATTCAGGAACAATAATTGTGTTTGCAACAATTTCTTCCCATTTGTTTCTATTCTGTTTGGTGGAGAGCACATCATCAAACTGAACTGGCCCTGCAACAGGAATATTTAGTCTCTTACATTTGCAACATTTCAGTTAAAAGAAAGCACAGATTCCCTAAGCATTCAGATGTGACATCCTTGCAAGTTAGCATGATGAGCCAAGAGCAGTTGCAGAGGTCCTAAAGCTAAATGAATATCTTAGTCTAGCTGGAGAGTGTCATCCAAACCAGGACACGGTGACTGCAGGTTTTCAGACACTTCAGTCCAGCCATTCATTTGAATGATGTGGACATTTATACAAATCATTCATAATCCCAGAAAGGCTAAACAAGTTGTCCAAGGTCAGACCATGATCAGTGTCAGACCAAAGAACAGAGCTTAGAATACTGATTCGTCCTGTCACACTAAAAATGTGGCTATTGCATATAAATCCCTCTATGGCACAATGACTCATGTCAGCTTTGAACTCCAGATTCTACAGTGAACCATACTCTGCCATTCCTCTTCCACCAAATCGCTTCTTGGTAGTCATTTAGAGGGCAGTCCAGTATATAGATTATACACAGCATTTGAGTAGTACCTCTGCTTGTGAGCTGAAAGCTGTCACAGCACGTCATGAGGTTATTTATTCAATAATTCCTTTTCAGAATTATGCACCAAACCTTGCAAACCCCACACATTTGACCTAAAGAGAAGTAAACAGCCAAAAATTCTTCATTTCCTACAGCAACAAAAAACCCTCGAATTTCTGGATCTTCCTCATCAGCTCAGCTACTGCCTGTTTGGAATGGTCTATTTGACCAGAAGCTAAATAGCTGCTGCCCTTAAAGCTTGCAGGTGTGATACGGCAGGTAGTGTTCCTTACACTGGCCCGGGTGCTGATGTGGGTCCTTGAGGAGGCTGCTGAGGACAAGATGAAGGATGTTGACAGTCTCATCCACACTCTTCCCCAAAATTTTTGTCAGCTGTGCCAAGTCCTCCCGAATATGCTGCTGCAGGAAACTCACAGAGTTGTTTACCGGTGGCTTGATAATCTTGTCAAATGACTAAAGAGGAACAAAAGGCAAGTATGAGCACAGCCAGTAACATCCAGTTCGAGCACAAGGCATGCAGAACTACAGGCTTACCAGAAAGTCGACCCCGTCCTACAGGATTCCTACCACTTGAACAAATAAAGGCAGGTATGTGCGTATATGCCCATGAAGGAACCAGAATCACCCCTGGGCGAGGAGGAAAGCGAATTTGGGTCTGGCATCTTCAAAGACTGCCCTAGTTACTTGGCAATATGATACAAGGACCAGCACCATACAAAGGATTAACTACATTTCATCTGGCCACTTGGAACTATTTTTGGAAGATACCTGAGGATCTTTTGTGGCTCCCAGCAACATCGTCAAATGTGTGAGCAAGCGTATCAGAACAAAGACAACTGGGGACATGGCCCGATCAGACACTCCCATTGCTTTTCTATGCTGTGCATCTCCAAGTACGTGGCCAGTTTGAGTTCTGTCTTCAGTACTCCTGTTGGAAAGTGTATATATAGTATTTTTTTGCCTTGACCAAAAAACCACACAAGAGGTGTCTTTGATACCCAGTAACATCTTTTTGACTGCCATAAAGGCTGCTAATTAAAAGCACTACAGGGGAATGAGGACTTCTGCTACGTTTTGTACACAAATAACCCTCTTTATTTGCTTTTGCTGGCTGATTACTCTTCCTTGGACATCTCTTCCTAATACATTTTCTATGAAAGAGACAAGGTCCAGCTTTGTAGGGCAAAACTAGCCAACTCCGTGCTGGACAGATGGAGAAACCACTGCTGTTAGAATTAGCAACTTTAACATTCTTACACAATGGCTCTAAGTGCTAATCGAGAGAATTGAGGGGGAGGGAACACAAGTTATAGTCACCAGAGCCCTGACAGAAGTTCTTCAGTCACGCTGGCCCATTTAAGAAAACGTTGCCTATTACTGTATGTTGGCGTAGAACCACATAACCTCTATCAGCCTGGATGAGCAGGGAGATAAAAAAACCTCAAACCAGCAGCTTGACTCGATCTTATGATAAGGCAGTTTCTGCAAAGTCAGAGCTACCCCAGCACTCCTAACAGCTGAGCCTCTTCCCCTCAGAGGCCCGTGTCTGAGCTGACGGGGAATCCCACGTGCCACCTTTCCAGCAGCAGCCTGGTGGTGCTCTCCAAAAGTCGCTAAGGGTCTACAGATCCTGATGTGCTTCTGAGTATGGAAACCAGGTACAGCAGGGAGCACGGCGAGGTCCACACATTGTTAACTGGCTGAATTACTCCACTTCAGGAGGCATTTCCCAGGCTTTATGCAGCCCTATTTGCATTGCCCACTTCACTGGATGCTCTCTGATTCTCTAAGGTTCTTCACTAGATGTCTCACAGACACAAATATACATGACCAAAAACTCATCCAGACAGGCCTGTGGAGTAGCCACTGTAGTGATTTTTCACTCTGCAATGGCTCTAGGCAACCCTGCCTGAGCAGGGGGTTAGACCAGATGACCTCCAGAGGTCCCTTCCAGCCTCAGCCAGTCTGTGCTTGTGACCTGAACACTGCGGTCTCTCAGCCCTGTGTCACACCCACCTTCTGCAGAAACATCCAAAGGAGAGGGACGGCATCCTTGGCATTCTTTTGCTGGACCACATGGCCCAGGTTCTCCACTGAAACCCTCTTTCGGCAGCTCCACATCTTGGAATGATGTATGTGACTGTCCTTTGGCAGCTGGGACAGGAAGCTGACCGGGTCACCATACACTATTTTCACTATTGGATTGGAAGAAATTCTCTCATCCTCTTGTATTTGTCTGTTTAACTTCAGAAGTTTTTTATCCAAATCCTGCATTTTAGAGGAAAAAAAAAAAAGAGAGAAATTCTATCAGAATTGGCGGTGTCCTGCCATGTTGAACCTCCACTAGAGTACATTTCCCTAACTACCTTGATGACCAGTTGACACAGAAATCTGTCAAAGCAGATGAACTCCTAGGGAAGGCGTGTAAAACACATACTGCAAGACAGCTGTTTAGACCATATTCTTTGTTCTCCAACTCATCCAACTCACAGGCCTTCCATTCCTGAGATAATGTATATGGGGGGGAATATAGAAGGCAGACGGAATTCATTGGGGGCAACCATATGCTCACTTGGACAAATACTTTCAATTGAGCTAAGATATTTCTGCTTTTCCAACTATAGAAAATCAACATAGCACAACTCTAGCCTCAGATACTCATTTCCACAGGTAGAATAAAGTTGTCTGACCCTTACAAATCAAAGCTACCCTGCAGCTACATTATAGATGGCTTGGCTTTAGGAATGGCTGGGTGAAAAGGGTAGCACAGATATTACAGCAGGTCAGGTTTCCAAATAAGTGGATTTTGAACGGCTCACCCACTGAAATTTTATACAGCAAATTTCTCACCTCCAATTCAGGAACAATAATTGTGTTTGCAACAATTTCTTCCCATTTGTTTCTATTCTGTTTGGTGGAGAGCACATCATCAAACTGAACTGGCCCTGCAACAGGAATATTTAGTCTCTTACATTTGCAACATTTCAGTTAAAAGAAAGCACAGATTCCCTAAGCATTCAGATGTGACATCCTTGCAAGTTAGCATGATGAGCCAAGAGCAGTTGCAGAGGTCCTAAAGCTAAATGAATATCTTAGTCTAGCTGGAGAGTGTCATCCAAACCAGGACACGGTGACTGCAGGTTTTCAGACACTTCAGTCCAGCCATTCATTTGAATGATGTGGACATTTATACAAATCATTCATAATCCCAGAAAGGCTAAACAAGTTGTCCAAGGTCAGACCATGATCAGTGTCAGACCAAAGAACAGAGCTTAGAATACTGATTCGTCCTGTCACACTAAAAATGTGGCTATTGCATATAAATCCCTCTATGGCACAATGACTCATGTCAGCTTTGAACTCCAGATTCTACAGTGAACCATACTCTGCCATTCCTCTTCCACCAAATCGCTTCTTGGTAGTCATTTAGAGGGCAGTCCAGTATATAGATTATACACAGCATTTGAGTAGTACCTCTGCTTGTGAGCTGAAAGCTGTCACAGCACGTCATGAGGTTATTTATTCAATAATTCCTTTTCAGAATTATGCACCAAACCTTGCAAACCCCACACATTTGACCTAAAGAGAAGTAAACAGCCAAAAATTCTTCATTTCCTACAGCAACAAAAAACCCTCGAATTTCTGGATCTTCCTCATCAGCTCAGCTACTGCCTGTTTGGAATGGTCTATTTGACCAGAAGCTAAATAGCTGCTGCCCTTAAAGCTTGCAGGTGTGATACGGCAGGTAGTGTTCCTTACACTGGCCCGGGTGCTGATGTGGGTCCTTGAGGAGGCTGCTGAGGACAAGATGAAGGATGTTGACAGTCTCATCCACACTCTTCCCCAAAATTTTTGTCAGCTGTGCCAAGTCCTCCCGAATATGCTGCTGCAGGAAACTCACAGAGTTGTTTACCGGTGGCTTGATAATCTTGTCAAATGACTAAAGAGGAACAAAAGGCAAGTATGAGCACAGCCAGTAACATCCAGTTCGAGCACAAGGCATGCAGAACTACAGGCTTACCAGAAAGTCGACCCCGTCCTACAGGATTCCTACCACTTGAACAAATAAAGGCAGGTATGTGCGTATATGCCCATGAAGGAACCAGAATAACCCCTGGGCGAGGAGGAAAGCGAATTTGGGTCTGGCATCTTCAAAGACTGCCCTAGTTACTTGGCAATATGATACAAGGACCAGCACCATACAAAGGATTAACTACATTTCATCTGGCCACTTGGAACTATTTTTGGAAGATACCTGAGGATCTTTTGTGGCTCCCAGCAACATCGTCAAATGTGTGAGCAAGCGTATCAGAACGAAGACAACTGGGGACATGGCCCGATCAGACACTCCCATTGCTTTTCTATGCTGTGCATCTCCAAGTACGTGGCCAGTTTGAGTTCTGTCTTCAGTACTCCTGTTGGAAAGTGTATATATAGTATTTTTTTGCCTTGACCAAAAAACCACACAAGAGGTGTCTTTGATACCCAGTAACATCTTTTTGACTGCCATAAAGGCTGCTAATTAAAAGCACTACAGGGGAATGAGGACTTCTGCTACGTTTTGTACACAAATAACCCTCTTTATTTGCTTTTGCTGGCTGATTACTCTTCCTTGGACATCTCTTCCTAATACATTTTCTATGAAAGAGACAAGGTCCAGCTTTGTAGGGCAAAACTAGCCAACTCCGTGCTGGACAGATGGAGAAACCACTGCTGTTAGAATTAGCAACTTTAACATTCTTACACAATGGCTCTAAGTGCTAATCGAGAGAATTGAGGGGGAGGGAACACAAGTTATAGTCACCAGAGCCCTGACAGAAGTTCTTCAGTCACGCTGGCCCATTTAAGAAAACGTTGCCTATTACTGTATGTTGGCGTAGAACCACATAACCTCTATCAGCCTGGATGAGCAGGGAGATAAAAAAACCTCAAACCAGCAGCTTGACTCGATCTTATGATAAGGCAGTTTCTGCAAAGTCAGAGCTACCCCAGCACTCCTAACAGCTGAGCCTCTTCCCCTCAGAGGCCCGTGTCTGAGCTGACGGGGAATCCCACGTGCCACCTTTCCAGCAGCAGCATGAAGTGGTTGGTACCTCTTGCCCTGAGAGCATGACAAGCAAATACTACATCATTTAGCGCTGAAAAGGTTAATGAATCAAAGCATACCGGAATTCTTGAAAGCCAGGCAGTGATTTATGCTGGACCCCGCCAACTTGGGCCCCACAGTCGAGACAGCGGCTAGTTTCCATGGGGCGGCCACACTAGCAAAAAACAAAATGAGAACATTCAATTCCAGAGTAAGAGCCTCTCCAGCAGAGAAAGAGAATGAAACAAAAATCCCAGCTGTAACCGGTTAATTAGAAAACTGCTACCGGGCAAAGGACCTTTGCCTCTCATTTCCTAGATTTATGGTATAAGCTGCGCTAGAGCTATTCTAAATTTTACATTACAATGGCAAAATGTTTAATAAAACAGAGTTTAGAAAATGAACCACTGTGCAATATAACATTAAAACCAGTAAACAAAATAAAACAGTTTATTGTTGAAAACACTGCCTGGTTAAAAACCCACCAGTCTCAAATTCTTACCTCTCCTACAGTGCAGGGGTGGCCCTTTGGACACACTATCAAGGAAGAGAAACAACAGGACGGTATTACAAGACAGACATTTATGAAGACCCACAAGAAACATGCTTCAAGATCTAATCAAAGCACTGAGTCCGAAGCTCAAAGGAGTGACAGACCCACATTGGAACCCCTGCATTCCTAGTTTGCAGTAAGCAGAGGCCAGGAAGGGCAAAGTGCTGCTCTTCTTCTGCTCACACTGCTTTAACGCGGCCAGAAGGGCAGGTCTTCTGCACTTTCAAACTTTGTAAACAGCTATAAGCTTGAGACTAAACAGAAGCTCAATGCACTTTGGTGCATTACCCACATAAACAGTAGCTACAAATCTTAATTTATAAAGGATAACTCATGCTTGAAAGAGGAGCGTCTGTCCTCACATTTGGAACAGTTTCATTCAAAACCCGAGGATTATCCTTCAGTTCCTTTCACAGCCAGTCAGAAGCACTTACTGTACCAGCGCAGAG